ACGTAGCTGTATCCGCTCGTGGGCTGGACGGTCGACAAGCACCCGCAGCTGCTCGCGACTCTGTGGCTGCTCGTCCCGAGCCTGATCGCAACGACCTTTTTCCTCCTTCTCCTCGTGCGTAGCCGCTCGACACCTTCCTCTGCCACGATTAGTGACTCGCCGCATCTTCCATGCGCAGCTCTCGCCCGTCGTCCCGCCGCTCGTCGCACTCCTTCCCGCCGCACTCGGCATCGGCAGCGGGCCCCTGCTCGTCGTGCTCGTCGTGCCGCGCATCGTCCAGCGACAGTGCGTCTGCCTCCCCTCCCTCTCTGTCCTCTCTCTCTCTCGCTTTTCGTTCCGAGTCCCCTCTACGCGAGCGGCACACTGATGCCACGCCTGTCCGTGCAGTCAAGCGCCGACCGCCCTAGGCGCGCACAAGTCGCTCGAGATGGCCGGTGCGATCATCTCGCAGACGCTCTCTGCGGGGTTGCTCTCGCTCGGGAACACTGGGTCTGCTTCCGGGGCGTCGAGCGCAGGCGAGGGGGACGGGGAGGGGGAGGGGGAGGGCAGCGTCGACCTCGCGCTGTGTGGGCTGCTCGTCGCAGCGCTGGTGCAGCTCGGGGTTGTCGCGAAGTGGTGGCACGCCATCAGGGGGCGGGAGGGCGAGCGGCCCCAGGGCGAAGAGGGGACGGACAGGGAGGATGGAGGAGGCGCACGCGCGGACGAGGCCGAGATGGGCCTTCTCATGGGAGATGAAGCCGGCGTGACTGTGCGGGGTAGCGCTGATGACGGTCGGATGGGGGCAGGTGAGCGCGAGGGGGAGGAGCTCCTCGGGCGCAAGGAGCGGCTCGAGATGCGCAGGGGAACGAGGGCGCTCCGAGCGGCCGCGGCGACGGTCGTTGCGAGCTGGGCATGCTTCGTGTGGAATGTCGTACATGGGTGAAAGGCAGGTATTGCTGGGTGCTGTCGTGCCATTTCCGTCGTGCCGTCGCGATCAGTCAGGGCCCGTGGGAAGAGAGCAGTCAGACAGCGGCGGAGAACCTCTCGCCCCCCGTGTCGGGCGCCGAGAGAGAGCGCGTGAGAGCGTGAGGGTGATACAACAATGACCCGAAAGAGGGCCTCTCTACGCGCGCGCCGCATCCGCCTGACCCTCGGTCGTCGCCGCACCCTGCTCCGTCGCCTGCGCCTGGGCGATCAAGCGCTGGAGCTCCTCCTCGCCGAGGAACTCTGCAGAGCCCAGACCGTCCAGCCCCGCCACCGCCCCCGCGTACTCCCCATTGAGGTCGACGCCGCCAAAGTACCTGCTGCGGCCGAGGGCGCGCTCATCGCGCGGTAGCCGCTCGTCGCGCGACGTCGGGACGACGCCGACGAGCTTGCGCTCCTTGCCCTTGCCGCCGGGTGTCGAGGGCCCGCGGTAGTAGGTGACGAAGCCCGGCACGAGCGCAAACAGGGTGTGGTCGCGGCCTTTGGCGACGTGCTGCCCGGCGTGCCAGGTCGTGCCGCGCTGGCGGACGAGGATGTTGCCCGCGAGGACCTCTTGGCCTGCGCGCGGCGCGTGTGTGCGGGTCAGCGCGAGTCTTAAGTGGAGGTTTCCTGCGCGGGGCTGGTCGAGTGGCTCACCTCCGTACTTCTTGATGCCCAGCCGCTTGCCGATCGAGTTTCGCCCGTTCTTTGAGCTGCCGCCTCCGCGCTTGGTGGCGGTCCTGACCTGCATAAGGCCTGCGTTGAGGGAGCAGATGATGATGCGCGGGTCAGCTAGTGCGCGCGAAATGTGTGCGAAGACGGAGGAAGAGGAAGGACGGACCTGGGAGGGGAGTCAAGAGCAGGGACGAGGCGAGGCACGAGGCCGATTGGAAGGCCGGGACGACTGGTCGAGAGAGGAGAGAGCGCAGCATGTTGGGTGCGCTGCAATGTTAGAGGACTAGTCGAGTGTAGCTCGAGCCAGAGGGGGGACGACAAGTTGCAACAGGCCAAGAGGCGAAGGAGGTTCATCGCTACCTTGAGCCTCCCTCGCATCCACGCGAGGCTGCACTAAGGACTGCTGCGCTAGATCAACAACAGTCGACACTACCGCCCCTCCGGACCGTACTCGTGCAAATCCGCTTAGGCACCACCCCCTCGTCCCCCCGCCCTCCTCTCCCACTCTACTCTGCTGCCGAGCCGCCATGGCCAACACGACCCGCGCCGGCGCTCTCTCGATCCACGGCACCAACCCGCAGTACCTCGTCCCGACCGTCATCCGCCAACGAGTCTACGACACGCTCTACTGGAGTGCGGCCGCCCCCTCGTCTCGTCCCCTGGCCTCTCTCAACTGACCCACCTCTCCCCTGACAGAGGAACATTGCTTTGCTTTGACGTCGGCCACCGTCATCGACCGCGCCGTCGAGCTCAACGCCATCGGCGGCACGTACGCCAACACGCGCCCGACAGAGTTCATCTGCCTCGTCCTCAAGCTCTTGCAGCTCCAACCAGAGCGCGAGATCGTCCTCGAGTACTTGCGAGCAGAAGAGTTCAAGTGCGCCGCGTGTTGACCCGGGCCTCTCCCTTCCTGGCTGACGCCCGCTCGACTCGCTCTCCTCCTCAGGTACCTGCGCGCATTAGCGGCCTTCTACGTGCGCCTGACATTCGACTCGCTCAACTGCTACGAGGTACTCGAACCTCTGCTCAACGACTACCGCAAGCTCCGCTTCCGCGCCATGGGTGCGTCCCATCCGCCGGCCTCTTCGTCTGCTCCCTGCCGCCCCCTTTGACGCCCATTGCCCCCCTTCACTCCAACTCCAGACGGCTCATACTCGATCATGACGATCGACGAATTCGCGGACCAACTCCTTCACGGCGAGTCCGCGTGCGAGATCCAGCTCCCGCGCCTGACGCAGCGCAAGGTCCTCGAGGAGACGGAGGGCCTCCCCCCGCGGCGGAGCAAGCTCGGGCGGGCGCTCGGCGTCCGCGGCGCGGGGGAGCACAGTGGCGACGAGGCGGGCGACGGGAGCGGGAGCGATGCAGAGGGGAGTGACGGGGCCCGAGGAGGAGGAGGGAGGTACCTCTCGCGGAGCCCGAGCGCGAGCAGGTCCCCGAGCCCGAGCCCCATGGACGAGGACGAGCCGGAGCCAGAGTACTGGACCGAGGGCTCTGGGGACGAAGGAGGCGCCGAGGGGAGCCGGGGCAAGGACGTCAAGCGGAGGAGACCCGTCGTCGAGGTCGAGGGGCGGGACGGGCGACGGACCGTCGTCCAAGAGCGGGGGAGGAGTCGCTCGCCCGGGCCCGGTGGCAGCGGTGCTGCGTCGGACGACAACGACGACAATGAGGGGCGGTACATCAGTCGGAGTCCGAGCCCGGCGGGGAGCGACGGGAGGTTCGTGTCGCGCAGTCCGACGAGGAGCGCGTCGCCGGTCGAGCGGTTCGAGGTCGAGCATGTCGCGGGGGACGTGTAGCACTTGTTGTGCCTTGCCTCGAGAAGGACTGCCACAGCGTGTGCGCCTGAGTGTCGGCTGCTGCTCGCGAGAGATGGTTCCCTGGCCGCTGGCACCGCTCACTTCGCGTCTCTCCCTCACTCCGCATGGCGGGTCAAACGGCGCTGAGCCCACGCGCAGTCAGCACGCCAGGACGCCACTCCAACAGCTCGTCCGACTACCTCCTCCTCACGACCGAGTCGTCCCCACTCCTCGGGCCCCCCTCCTCACGAGGAGGCTCCCCCTCATCGCCCCACGACGACAACGCCCCTCCCACGCCGCGCTTCCTCCCACTGCTGCAGCTCGTCGCGCTCCTCGACCTCCTCACGACGCTCGCGCTCGCGCTCCGCGTGCCCATAGCCGCGCTGCCGAAGTCGGCACTGGGCATCAACCTCGCGCGCGGGGTCGCGGTGGGTGCGGCGGTGTCGCGCCGGGACCGCGTGGGCGAGGTCGCGCCGCTGATGCTGGGGCAGCTCGTCGTACGTCGCGACCTACTCTCTGGCCGCTCTGTGGTGACGCCCCGCGCTGACCCTCGCCCTCCCGACATCGACGCGCCCGGCACCACCTGCCACAGCTCTCGGCCCTCGTCCTCCTCTACCGTCTCAACGAACTCGTGCAGACGACGACACTCCCCCCCAAAGCCTGGATCACCCCCACCACAGTGTGGTACCTCTCGTCTTTCCTCTTTGCCCCGGTCCATTACACCCTCTTCCTCCTCGTCGTGGGCCTGCCGCGCGCGCACGCGCGGCGCCGCTGGGTCCGCGGGGAGCAGCCCTGGGCGGGGGCAGTCGAGCACGTGCGCTCGGGCGCGTCGGTCCGCAGCGCGAGCTTTGGCGCAGAGGAGGAGGAGGAGGAGGAGGGTGCATTCTCGGGCTCAGGATCCCGAGGCGCCGCGTCCGATGAGGGCCACTCGTCGAGCAGCGACGACGACGACGACGACATCATCGACGTCCCGCGGCCGTACGCGCCCCAGCAGCAACCCGGAGCGCTCCGCAACCGCGCCAGCCGCGCGAGCTTGCTCAGCGCCTTCTCGCCGCCGCCGCCGGGGCAAGGACAAGGGCTAGGGCAAGGGGCAGGCGCAGACGACCGACCGGGCTTTGGCGCCAGTAGGAGGTTCGGGTCGATCAGGTCGCTTGGTACGTTCTTTGGGCCTGCGACCGGCTCTCTGCCGGCTGACCCGGGGTGTGCTGACACGACGCCGAGCGAGCACACAGCCGGGATCTGAGGCGCGCCGACTTCCTGTTGTTGTACTTTCTCCCCGAGTCAAGAACCTGGATTCGCAGTCCTGTCTCTTTGACAGGGGGGGCTGCGGCCGCTTGGCTTCCGTTGACCCGCGAGTGTCGTGCAGGACGCGTCGGCGCGGCGACCTGAGCTAATCGAGCGGGCCGACGGTCTCTCTGCCGCGCGTCACGCTCTCGCTTGACCGCTGGCACTTCTGCTTTGGGCTTGATGACACGCGATCGACCGAGGCAGGAGGAAATAGGCTGGAGCGACGAGATTTGGGAAGGCCGACCGGATGCTCCAGTAGCGGCGCCATGTGGACGTTATTGCTGCTGCGCATTACATCGAATTGGCAGCATGGTGTAGTTGGTTATCACGTGCCCTTCACATCTTCGGAAGACGGGCAAGGTCTTGGGTTCGAACCCCAATGCAGTCATTCTTTTTTTCCCTCGCCCCCTGGCAACCTCCTTTTTCTTCTCCGGTCGCCGCGTCGCAGTCGACCGTGTAGCCAGACTCGAAGGCGACGAAGGTGTCGTTGGGGCGCTGGCGTGGGTAGGAAGAGAGGCAAACATCGGGGTAAGGCGAGACGCGCTCTACTCACCAGCTTCCTCTTTCCAGCCCTCTGCGATGGCTTTGAGATCGGGTAGTCACAGCCGTGTGGGCGCACCCGAGAGATCGAACGCAGTCACAAGGCTTGTCGGGCACCGGCCCTCAGGACGAGGCGCGGTGTCTTGCCCCGGGGCTCGAGCGCCCGCTTCCGTCAGCCACGCAGAGTGTGTGCACGCTGCTGAGCCTTTCGGAGCAATTTACAGAGTTAGCATAACACTGCTGACGGGGGGCACCACGAAGGAGAGCTGCCATCAGAGACGGGAGCACCGCTGCGAGAGAGGACGGTCCGAGCGGGCTTGAAGAGACAAGCGGGAAAGCCCCCGCGAGCGGTGCGCGCGGCACGCAGTGACTAGTGCTTGTTTGGTTCGTCTCAGTTGGGACACTTTACTGCGCGTTCTCCGCACGGCAGTGGAGGGAGCGCGTCTCCCGAGGGAGGCGCACCGCGAGGGCAAGCGGGCTCGAGCCAGCGCGAGGTCACGCGTCAAGCGCGCACGATGCCGACTCGAGGGGCATTGCTCGTTGGCAAGGAAGCGCAGGCGGCGCCGCCGCTTGTGTGCCTGGGACAGGCGCCCTCAACGCTTGGCCCACCGTCGGCCCTCCCCAGCCCTCTCCCCTCGCCCTGACCCGCCGGGTTTCTTTGACAACCCCACTCGTGGTGTAGCTCCGTTACTTGAGCCACTCGTAGCGCCCAGAGGGGCACGCGCGACTTGTCTAGGCCTTCATTTCATTCCAGACTCGCTATACACAGGACGCTGCGCGCTACGCTCAGTACGCCGACGGGTTCATCGAGAGCGTGCCGCCGTCGACAGGGATGATGACGCCGTTCGTGTCTGCCGCACAGGACGAGAGCCGCCGTCAGCTCGGAACGAGGAGGCCCGAAGGCAACGCAAGGGAGAGGACGCACACTGGCCAGCGCGCGAGGCGAGCATCAGGACGACCCCTGCCATGTCCTCTTCGGTACCCGCACGGCCAGCAGGGCACTTGATAGACGAAGGGTCGAACTGGCCCTCGAGCGACGTCTTGTTCTTGTCGTCCGAACCTGAGCCAGTCATCTCTGCGCACGCGCGGTCTCCAGGCGCGTGAGCGGAGCGTTCTTCCGACCAGTCCAAGGTAGTGACGGACCAGAGGGGAAAACGCCGGGGGCGATCGAGTTGATGCGTACACCCGTGTGGGCAAACTCGGTAGCCATCAGGCGCTGGAGGTGGTTCGCAGCGCCCTTCGATGCATTCTGCAGTTGGCGGCGGCGGCGGCGGCGGGCGCGGCGTCAGCTTTGCGGCGCTGGCATACACGGAGCGTAAAACGTGCGTAGGCAAAGTGGTTCTGTGCGAGCTTGATCAGCCCCGAGATGGACGTCGTGTTGATCACGACACTCTGGTAGTTCTCGTAGATGGCGCGGCCTGCAGGGTCTCCTCCGTCTATGGTACACGCCCCCGCACGTCAGCCACTTCTCAAGAAGGGAGCGGGAGAGAGGAACGCACTGGTGAACTTGGCGAGGAGCGGCAGGAAGGCGGCGGTCATGTAGAAGACTACGCCGGGGGCATGCGCTCGTCAGCGGCAGCGGCGACTGCGAAATCATGTCAAGATGTGACGCACTGCTGGAAACGTTGGTCTTGAAGACCTCGGTCCACCCGTCAAACGTCTGCTCGGCGAGGAGCTTCTCGCTGAGCTTCTCGGCCGACGGCTCGTTTTCCTCAAACCTGGTGACCTCTCCCGAAATACCGGCGTTGTTGAACTGGGCGGGGAGGTAAAGTGTCAGCAGCGCAAGGACTAAACCAACCCTAGGTTGGAGCAGAAGAGCAGAGGGGAGACCTGCCGACGGCACTGACGCACCAGGATGTGAAGGCCGCCCTCGCGCTGCTTGATCTCCTCGGCGAGGCGCTTGATGTCAGACTTGTCGGTCACGTCTCCAGGCAGCGCAATGATCTGGCCGTCGACGTTGGGCGAGTAGACCGAGACGACGCGGTCGAGCGCTTCCTTCCTCCGCCCGACGATGTAGACCTTGGCCCCGTTGGCAGCGAGTGCCTGAGTGGCCACTGTAGGCGGTAGAGATGGTCAGCACGCGACGGGGCGAGGCGTCGGGCCGTCGAGGGGAGAAGCGCACTAAGGCCTGCGAGTTGGGAAGGCCGAGACGAGGTCAGCTTGACATCGAGGGAATCTCGCTCGCTGAGCCTCAGGCTTGGTCACGAGCCACGTACCGATACCAGTACCGCCTCCAGAGACGAGAGCTGCGCCAGGGACGAACCGTCAGCGCCGACCCCGGACGGGAGCGAGCTTCTGTCCTTGACGAACCGACAAGGCCCTTGACCGAGAAAAGGCGCGAGGCGAGGAGGTGGGAAGAGCTCATTCTGTTTTTGCGAGTTGCTTTGGATGCGGGAGAAAGCAAGGGAGAGCCTGGCAAGTCCACTCACTCCACTGAGCGAAAGGCAGAGGCAGCGACCTGACGCACCACTTGATCCTCGCACGCCGAGCCGAACTGGGAGCACCTCGCGCCTACGTCGTTGCTGAGGGTCCGACGAGTGTCCGACGGATCCGCCCTTCGGGATCTCCGTGCACGCCGACCGGCAACCGAACCCCCCCCCCCCCCTTCCGGAGACTCGGCTCTGCGAACGTGCGAGCGGGCGACTCGGGTCCCCGTCGGTTTCTCCGGGTCCTCCGACGCGTCGTCGCGCGCCTCGCAGCAGAGCCTCCATGAACGAACCTTCTCCCCAGTCTCTCGCCTGCTCTGTTGTGCTCTCGCTCCTTTGGCTCTCTCCTTTCGACTTTTCGCCGCTCCCTCTCTCTACAGACGGGACCCTGCTCTCTGGCTGTGCCTTGCGCCTCGTTCACACGCTAGTCGACTCCGCACCCGCCCCTTGCGTCCCCACACTCCCCCTCCTCTTGGACGCATACACACGCGCTCGCGGCATCAACAAACAACGTCGCCGTCGTCTTCGTCTTCAGCACCCAAGTCAAGTCAACATGCTCGCCAAAGTTGCCCTCGCCGCCGCCGCCGTCGTCGGAGCCGCCGCCCCGGCCGTCGCCCAGCTCTCTTCGCTGCGGGGCACGATCCCAGGGTCCCTGCACCAGTGCGAAGCGACGAACCTGTTCTTCTTCGACTCGAGCAACACGCGCCCGCTCAGCGTCCTGTTCCTCCCATCGAGCGAGGTGCCCGACTCGATTCGGTCGGGAGAGGTCACGCTCGAGCAGGCCCAGCAGTACTCGCCGCTCCTGGCCCTCTCTGGTATCGAGACCCCCGACGCGCAGCAGTACGACTTCACGCTGCAGGTTGAGCAGGGCGCTGTCTTCGAGGTACGTCGCCAAGTCCCCCTCTTCGAGCGTGCCATGCGTGTGTTGACGGGCTCGCGGGCAACAGGTCTTTGCATTCCTCCCTGACGGCCAGGGCAAGGCCCTGTCGCTCACGCGCACTGTGTCTACGCCGCTGCCCGGCGCGTCGTCTTGCCTGACCAACATCCCCACCTCGTCCGTCGCGCGCGCTCTCTCGCCACTGGTCGAGCCTCGCTCTGACTCTCTGCCCATACAGGGTCGCCGGTGCGGGTGCCACGACGGCCGTCTCGGCGCAGCCTACCTCGGCATCCGAGTCCGTCGCATCGAGGTAAGGAGTCGCCGGCTTACCGAAGGGTGACCGGTCCTGACTCGTTCGCGCGCCCAGCAGCGCGTCGAGCTCGTCCGGCATGGCTTCGTCGATGAGCCCGTCGTCCGCAGCGTCGTCGACGATGTCGGGGATGGGCAGCAGCACGTCGGCAAGCACCCCGGCAGCCTCGTCGTCGGGCGCCGCAGCAGGCGGGTCGAACGCGGCGGCCTCGTCGCACGGCGGTATCGACCACTCGGTTCTCGTGGCGTGGTCGGTCGCAGTCGGAGGAGCGGCGCTCGTCGGTGCGGGGCTCATGGCTTGAAGCGGTCGAGTGCTGTTTGTAGAGAGACTGGAAGAGGGTCTGTGCAGTGTGCAGAGAGCGCGCGTTCCGCGTGCTGCGGACGCGGGCGCGGATCCCATTGTCTCAGAGCTTTAGCGTGGCTGCGGGGCTGGCTCGCAGAACGCGCGGGGCGCTCCACGCAAAAGGCACACGATGACGAGGTGACCCTTGAAGAGGCAGGGTCCAAGCGGGCCGTCGAGCTGGCTTTGGGTCTGGGCCCTCCCCTTTCGATCGCACGAAGCCTCCCTCGCTTCGTCGACTCCTCCTCCCCCCAAGTCACTCCACCGCGCGTCAGGTCCTTCTCATCAGGCCACGCCCAGTGCAATAGCAGGGCACCGAGGCCCCTGGTCGACACCCGCCCTCGCCCTCCCTCTCCGCCCTTTGTCCCCGCCTGCGCCCCCCTCTCCCCAAGACCCGCTCCCTCCCCTCCTCCAAACTTGCCCGGTCGCCCGCCATGGCCGCACCCGGCCTCGGGCACTACGTCCACGCGGCGCCGGACGTGGGTCTCGACAGCTACGGCGTGCAGCTGCAGGCGTACCCTCCTCCGACAGGCGCGTCGTCGTCGTCGACCAGCTCGCCGTTTCTCCCCGCCCTTCCTCCGACCGTGGGCGGCTTCCACCTCGATCAGCACCAGCAGCACCAGCAGCTCGACTGGGGGGCGATGCAGCAAGGTCAACCGCACCTCCAACTGCCTCCTGTGACGCACGGGGGCTGGATGGGCGCCCTCCCGCCTGGGTTGGGCGACTTGCCGGGGGACGTTGGAGGAGCAGGCGGCGTCCCTGCACCCGAGGGCGGACCCGCATCGACGGTCGCGTATCCTCCTTCGATGAACGCACACGGCGGCATGCACTCTCTGCCACCCGTCCAGTACGACTGGCAGCTCCGGCCGAGGCCCTACACGCCGTACCACCTGCCC